ATCTCTGTTACAATAAATTACAAGCTCATATACCATTTGAACTGACTTTTCGCATTGATCACGAATATGTAATTAGTTTTGCGTTTGATTGTATATTTTGGTTAGATCGTTGATTTTTCATTATGTATTTCGTCCATTTTTACCTGACTCTCATGAATAGTAATTTGTTTGATAAATTTAATTGCATATTCGTGATCAGCACAAAAAACCAATTTAAATGATATACGAGTTTACAATTTATTGTAACGAAAATTAAAAAAAAAACTAAAATATTAAAAAAAATAAAAAAACTAATTTAATATTTTAAAATAATTTAAAAGACTAAACAATAGTTTTGCCATGATTTTTAGACTTATAGTTTGAATAGTAATGTTTAAACAACCCAACCACATTCATACAACAATATAGATAAACATTGACACGTGCATTGCCTCCATCTATATGTTTTCTTTCCCAAACCATGATATTCTTTTCTTAAAAATAATTTGAAGTTAGTTATTTTTTAGAATTTTGTTAACTTATGTTATAAAGGTTGAGAAATTAAAAAATTCATAAATGAAGATTGACTAGATTTGACTATTAAAAATCACTATTTTAATTTAACAAATTAAATATACAAATTAATTTTTTTATATATAGAATTTCTTAAAATGTATTATAAGAGCACAAGCTAACATTTTTCTTATTTCTAATTAGACAGAACACAAAACACAAAAGTTAGTTTCTAATTCACTTTTTCTTTTTCTTTTTCTATATTATTTTAATTATCCTAAATAAACATAACATTGTGGAGTGACCTATAATCCCACCTAACATTGAACCCCAAGCTCTTGGAAGTGGTAACCCTACAAGATATTATTAGGAAAATGACAATTTACGAGCACATGATGATTTTCACCCTTTTTAGCTCATTCACTTGTCTTCTCTTCTAATTGCCCTCCAAATTATGGAATTCATGTATGGACTTATCTTCTTAGTGTTTGAGATTTGTGTCTCTCGTCTCAATTCATTCAACTTTTTCCCTAAAGTTTTATATGGATTCATTTCATTAATTTAATGATAACATTTCAAACAAATAGAATATTCGACGTAATCTTGATAAGTCAATTTAATTGGTAGTTATGTACAGACATCAAATTTAAGAATATAGATACGAATCCGCGATATTTCATCTAAACACATTTAAAAGATGAATTTTAACCACTAATTACTTAACAAAAAAAAATATTCAAGATAAAAATGCTACTATGTCACAATTAAACCATGACAAAGTTGACAAAACAAAAATGTGGATAAGTAATGTTTGTCACGGGTTATGCAACTCTGGAGTATTGAGATGTCACAAAATATTAATGACTAGAAGTTAATAAAGATTACTTCATTCGTTTTAAAATGACAATCGTTTAAGATTTTTGCATATAAATTATTGGATGTAATAATGTTATCATAAAATATTACACTTTTATCGAATTAATTTTATAAATATATTAGAAGTAGTGTACAAAGTAATAATTAAAGGATACAATTGAAAAAATGACTATTATTTCTACATTAAAAAATGATAATGACATTCAATTTAAAATAAATTTTATTTATTAAAACGACAATCATCTTAAAACGGAGAGGATAATACAGATGAAAACGTATTTTCAACTTCAAGTCCACTCTAATTTGAGTGAGCTCTTCAACCAAACTCATTTAAACAACAATGGATTGTTAATCTAATTTACCAAAATAATGTGTCACTGATATCATGAACTCCTTTGAGAAATAAAATGGAGTTGAATCAAGAGCAAGCAAGCTACATATGAGGTACAAACTCTTAATCAATCATTTTTGGATACCAACCATATAAGTGATATGCCTATTTATTCATCTCATGATAAAAATAAAAATAAATCAATTCTCTTTTCAAGACTAGCTCATTGATATGCCTATTTATAGGAAGCCTTATCATAAGTGTGCGCTCAAATTGGTGTTTCTTCCAAGAGGTTATAAAATTATAAACTTTGCTACTTTTTTTTAGAAAGATGAAAAGTCATCTATATGTCACACCAAAATGCTTATCTATAACAAGAACAATTCTATGGGTGAGAAAGATCAAAAAGGGGTTAAACCTTACCCAAAAAAAATCGGTTGAAAAAATTTTGATTTTCAAAAAATCTCAAACGAAACAACAGAAATTTGATAGAGTGTGTTGGATTGATATCATAAATTATACAATGATCATATGACACAATGAAATATAAAACAATGGAAATCTTAGACAATCAATAAATTAATTAATACAAAATCAATTTATATGAGATTTTTAAATCAAATTTCATTAATCAATAAAATCAATTTAATATCACAAGTTACAAATAGATATAATTAAAAGGAATTCATCACTAATCTATTAAAACTAAGAGAACCAATGAAAAAAGAGAAACTCAGACCTCTCTCTTGTTTTCTCTTTTTATCCCAAATGTTTTTATACCATGAAAGAAGATTATATTGGACATGATGGAGAAGGGTGGACGAAAGTTAAGCACAATAACCGCGAAGGAAAGAAGGTGCGGTGGGAAGCAGAAGGCGAAAATAAGGGGAAGAAGGCTAGGGAATCTACTTCTATCTTCATCACTGAGTTTTTAGATAGGATGAAAGCAAAAGACTTGTACTTGTTGATGGCTGATTACGGTAATGTCGATGAAGTTTTTATTCCTCAAAAGAGGTAGAAAGTATGGATTTGTGCGCTTCTTTGACGTGGAAGATGTTAGGAGTCTTGTTTTGAAGCTTGATAACTTCTTCATCGAGGGGAGGAAGTTATTTGCGAATGTTCCATGGTTCTCTAGGAGCGAGGGAGGGGAGTTCTTTAAGGATAATGGTCTAGCATCCTTAGGACCTAAGAGAGTTTATAAAGGAGAGAGTTCGACCTTCAAAAATTCGGAGTCTTCTTCTCATTTTTCTGCATTAGAGGGCTTTCAAAAGAACAAGAAGTCTTTCGTTGAAGCAGTTCGCTCTTATGCTTCTAAGAGTAATAATAAGATTTCGTTTGAGATTGATAAGGAGGATATAAATTGATTTGAGAAAGCCTTCATTGGTAAAGTGATCATTCTGGGAGCTTCATATAATATGCAAAGAAATTTTCACTTGGAGGGTTATTTTGCAGTGAAAGCGGCGCCATTAGGGGATAACGTGTGTCTTCTCGAGGAGAAGGAAGAAGGTGAGTTAGAGTCCCTCTTAGAAAGAGCAAAAAATTGGCTAGGTCAATGGTTTTATGAGGTGGTAAGGTGGAAACCTGAAGCGGTGGATCCGGAGAGATTTACTTGGTTGAGGTGTTACAGGATCCCAAGCCACACGTGGTCGGTGTCTTTTTTGAAGTATTTATCGTCTTTTTTCGATAAGTACGTGGGATGTAAAGATAGTTCCTTTGACTTCTCCAAAATGGATGTTGCTAGCTTAATGGTCAGAACCTCCTGCGGCATGTTGATTGATGAGGTGTTTAATGTATTCATTAATGGTGTCCGTTTCAGGATTAGAGTTGCAGAAGAGACTATGGGCCCTTTAACTAAGTCGGTGGAGATATTCCCTCCGGTAGTGTCTGAGTCTAATTTTGAAGCTTCCTTTGTGAAAGACAGTCCATAATGGTGGGACTCCGGTGGTGATGATGAGGATATATAGGATAACAGAGGGGAGGGCGACGCCGCCGATTTTCGAGGTTTTAAAGGTGATGTGACTCATTATAAATGGAGTAGCAAAAAGGAGATGTTTGTTTCTTGCGCTAATTTGTCAGATGAGGGTACAGTTGCCGTGTATACGAAAAAGTCTGAGAGTATTCTCAAAGCCCTTTTTCATGCTCTTAAGGGTTAGCTTCAGGGTATCGTGTCTAGTTGTGAGGGGTCTAAGTCTCAGCATGCTGGGTCGTTTCTTAATATGGGCCATAGAGTTATTGCTGGAAATAAGGTTATTGATCTATGTAGTGATAATGAGACTAACGTCTCTTTTAATGGGCTCTTAAAAGCCCAATTGGATTTTGGATCCAAGAAAGACTTGGGCATGGATCTTGGTCGCAAGGGTCGTACTATGGTTAGGGAAGTCTCGATCAGTATACCTACTCATTTGGGGGAGAATCTAGGGATTTAAGCGGAATACCCCCCCCCCCCCAATTTCTGCTCCTTACCTCTGAATTTGGGATCGTCCTTTGAAGATAACTTTGTTCCTTCTCAATCAGTGGATCGTATTAGTTATTCTAGCAAGAAAACGCCTGAGGGTAACCTTCCCTGTTCAAGGAAGTATTTGGAGAGGGTTGAGAGTTTGGAGGAAGTTGTGTCTAGATGTCACTCTGTCACTGATTCGGAAGTGGTTCAAGGTAACAAGATATTTTGGGCAGAAATGAAGTCTAAGGTGTCGGAGAAGGTATAAGATATATTTAAGTCAAATGGCGTCAATGGTGAAGGCGGGAAGGAAGTCTTGGTAGAGGCAATCATAGATCTAGAGGTGATGGACAAGGAAGGCTTAGCTCAGGGGGTGTCTGCAGATAAGGTTGTCCAATGAATATTTTATCCTTAAACGTTCGAGGAGGAGGTAATATGGTGAAGAGGAAAAGGTTAGTGTCTCTTATCCAATCCGGTAACTTTGATGTCTGCTTCATTCAAGAAACAAAGCTATCTTTTCTGAACAGTGAGTTAGCTGCTTCATTTTGGGGTAGCTCTGAGGTGGAGTGTTTTGGTTATGTAGGGTCTGGTGGAGGGATGACTACCTTTTGGAGAAAAGGCTTTCTAAGACTGAACATCAGCTTTAGAGAGGAGGGCTTTGTGGATTTGAATTCAGTTTAGAAGGGTAAATATTTGTTCTTCATTAATGTTTAATCTTCGTGTAAAGTGGATTTAAAGAGGAAGTTGTGGAAGGAGATAGTTTAAGTGAAGAGGAAATTCGGAAGGGGTGAATGGATTATCAGTGGAGATTTCAATGCAGTTTCTCATAGTAATGAAAAGAAAGGAGTCAGTGAAGGCTGGAGAATGAAAGAAATGGAGGAGTTTCATAGATTTATTGGAGATAATGCTTATATCGATGTTCCATGTGAAGGCGGTATGTGCACTTAATTTAACAGTTCAGGATCTTCGATGAGCAGACTCGACAAATTCTTAGTTTTGGATAGCCTTATTGAAGACTAGAAGATTTCGGGGAAGCATATAGGCAGGAGGGATTTATCCGACCATTGTCCAATTTGGTTGAAAACTAATTATGTTTATTGGGGGCCCGACACTATTCATGTTTAACAATTGTTGGATAAATCATCTTGAATTTCTGATTTTCATGGAGAAGGAATGGAATTCTTTTGTCGTAAAGGGAAAGGGGATTTCATGTTGAAAGAGAAATTGCGTCGTCTTAAAGTGATCTTGATAACTTGGAATAAAGAGGTATTCAGATGGATTAATTTGAAGGTTAAAGAAGTTGTTTGGGATCTTAATGACTTAGATGCCCAGGTTAGTAGTTTGGGGTTTTCTTGTTATGAAGATATGAAAAAGAAAAGGCTTTTGGCGTAAAAGGAGATTTGGAACCATTTTAATCTCAAGGAAGGTATGTTGAGGTTAAAAGCGAGAGTGTTATGGCTTAAGGAATGAGACAGAAACTCAGGTTTTTTCCATAGGGTTATTAGAGGTCGGAGGCAGAAGAATCTCATTTCTTTTGTTAACACTCATTTTGGCAGGAAATAGGGGGTGTACGATGTTAAAGAAGAAGTTAGGAACTACTTTGAGGACAACTTCAGTGATCACGTTGTTAATAGACTGGAAAAAGCTTTTGGATGTTGATCAAGCTAGTCTGGAAGAGTTGGTGTCAGAGGAAGAGGTTAAAGAGGCAGTATGGAATTGTAATGGGAGCAAGAGTTTGAGCCCGACGGATATAGTTTTGGTTTTTTTCAGGCCTGTTGGAAGATTGTCAAAGGAGATCTCTTGTGATTTATCAATGATTTTCTTCTCAAACCTTCCCTTACCAAGGCTGCTTCAGCTTCTTTCATCATTCTTGTTGCCAAGAGAGCTAACCCCCAACACCTTAACTATTATAGGCCTATTTCTTTAGCCAACTGTTTTCAGAAGATTCTTGCAAATATTTTGGTAGGGCGTCTTAAGAAGGTGATTGGTAGTATTGTTTCAGCGGAGAAAACGACTTTCGTGCCGAGAAGATGTATTCTTGATGGGGTAGTAACAATCAACGAGATCTTGGACTTGGAAAAAAGAACTAAAAGGAAGTGTTTGACTTTAAAGATCGATTTCGAAAGGGCCTATGACTGTGTAAGCTAGGGGTTTCTTAGATTCCTGCTTCAAGAAATGAACTTTGGCAAAAGGTGAAAGAGTTGGATAGAGTATCTTGTTTTCAATGGATCTATGTTTGTTCTTGTCAACAGGAGTGCTTCTAAAGACTTTTTGATTGAGAAGGGATTGTGTCAAGGTGATCTGTTATCTCCCTTCTTATTTATATTGGTGATGGAAGGGTTAAACCAAAGGGTGAGCAAAGTTGTTTCTTCAGGCGTGTTCAAGGGATTTAAGGTTAACGACCGGGTTTCGTATGACATCATACAATTTACAGATAACACTCTTTTGGTTGGGGAAGGTGACTGTAATAACTTATGGTGTTTCAAACCTGTCCTTAAAGGTTCCGAACTTGTTTCAGGGCTCAAAGTTAACTTCTTCAAAAGCAGTGTTGGCGGAGTCAACTTGAACCAAGATTTCCTGGTTGTTGCTTCTGATTTTTTGTGCTGTGAGATAGCTAAGCTTCCCATACAGTTTCTTAGCATTCGCATTGGTGACATTCCTAGGAAGACCAACATGTAAAGAGATGTTATTGAACATGTTAGGAGAAGGCTTTCAGCATGGGAGGGCAATAATATTTCAATTGGAGGTAGAGTGGTCTTAATTAATTCCATTTTTAATGTGGTTCCGTTATACTCTTTATCCTTTTACAAAGCCCCTGTAGCGGTTATCAAATCAATCTGAAGTTTACAAAGCAACTTCCTATGGGGTGGGTGCTCCAGTCGTAATTATATCCATTGGGTTAAGTGGGAGACCGTTTGTTCTCCTAAAGCGAAAGGAGGATTGAGCATAAAGGATTTAGCGGCTTTTAATAAATATCTTTTATTAAAATGGAAATGGAGTTTCTTGACGAAGAAGAAGGTGATATGGAAAGGTATTATTGATCATAGATACGACAATCCCAACTTGGCTATGGCAATATCATGTATCAAAGGTTCTCGCGACAGCAAGAATGCATCCATATGATGGAGAGACTTATCTTTTTTGTGCTTCGATTATGCTTTTCATTCTAATTTGTTTGTGAATTTGGTAGCTTGTTCTTTGGGATCAAGGAAGGACATTGCCTTTTGGAACAACATTTGGACTCACAACTTTTCTCTGAAGGAGGTTCTATTGAACTTGTACATCCATCGCGTTTTATCGAGGCCTTCGGTGGCAGACATGGGGTGTTGGATTTAATACGATTGGGAATTGAGTTTTTGTTTTCCTTCTTTCTCTGCAGGATCGGAGATGGAAAGGGAGCTAGTGGTTTTTAATGGTTTGCTGCTGAATATGAAGTCGTCTGTAGATAGGTTCGACTCTTTAACTGGGTTCCTACGGTTAATAATATTTTCTCGGTCTCTTTTTGCTACGACTGTATCATACAAAACATCCCATCACTCGTGTAATACCCTAAATTTTGCCCTAAGATTAGTCAAATCATCTCGCATTCCGTTGCATTTTTGCATTTAACCAGCCACTAACAAGTTCGTGTAGTTGGTTGATTTTTGCAGGAAAATATCATGTGGCGCGCTCTTTGGTTCATGAAGAGTAAATTGGAATAACTAGGAATTAATAGAAAAAAAGGATTTTTCATTTCCTATTTTAAATTAATTTCATCAATCATGTGTCATTTTTTCATTCATCATATTTCATTTTTTAAATTAATTTCATTGCATTTTTAAAATCAATCATATATCATTTTTTTAAATTAATCCCATTTTTAAATCAATCATTTAAAGAAAAATCAATTTCATTTCTATTTCATTCTTAATTTTAGTCTCATTTCATTTTTAAATAATTTCATTTCATTTCTATTTTTCATTTTAAATTAATTTCATTTTTCTTTAATATTATTTTCATTCTATACATTTTTATGCTAAGTTTTAATTTTTATTATTATTTGAATATCAAAAAAATAAAAAAAATAATAATAATATTTTAAGAAAAAATAAAGGATTTTTATTAAAAATAATAAGAATTCTTTAAAAAAAATAATAAATAAATAAATAGAATTATTAATTTCAATTTTATTTTAATTATTTAAATTTTGTAATTATAACTAATATTAATTTAAGTTGGGCTTTAAGATGGGCATTAGGTTAGAGTTAACCCTAATTTGATACCTATATAAACATAAGTTGTATTTGAGAAAAGGGGAAAGGAGACAAAAGAAAAAACAGCGGTCGTTCTCACGATTTATCAGAAGAGGGGATTTTTTTTGGAAGAACCCTAAAAGGCTCGAATTCATCATCGGTCAAGCGCTACCGACGAGCAAAAAGTTCCAATGGCAGAGGATCAGTTCGTTCAACATCATCGTCGTTACCGTAACCTTTCTTTTTCCTTTGATTTATGGTATTTTACGATTTTTGTGTGTTGTTTTGTTCATTGATTGTAGATTAATGGGAAGAATAAATAGAAGAAGGAACCATTGACATGCAAGGATTGAAGGAGAGGAAAAGTTTCGATAGCCATCCATGGAGAAAACGGCAGAAACCTTTTTATTTACGTTTCATTTGTTTTTTTATTTTATTATTCAATTATTTATTTTTTTCATTTATATTAACTATGTGGTTTGTAATTAATAATGCAATCAAGTTTAGGTAAATTATTTCAACAAAAAAACATAACGTAATTAGTTTTTTTAAAATTAAGGTCTTTTTAAAAAGTTTTTTTCAAAATTAAACCATTTTTTATTTAAAAACATATTTCTAAATAAAACAGTTTTTCTTAATTAAAGTTTTTTTCCAATTAAAACCATTTTTCATTAAGTTAAAACAAAAATTAAAAAATGACCTTTCTTTCACTAAAACAAAAATTAAAATCTTTTTCGTTGAATTTAAATCAAAGTTTTTCATTAAAATTTAAAACATTTTTTCCGATAAAATTAAAACATTTTTTTCAATAAGATTAAAACATTTTACAATACAACTAAAACAAATCTCTTTAATAAAAGTAAAAGAAAATTTTTAATAAAAAATTAGAATAGTTTCTCCATTAAAATATAAAATTAATTCTCCTCTTTTCAATAAAAATTCACAAAAATAAAGTTTGATTTAGTCGTTTCATTTTCGTCTAACCCTCGTTAATTTGTTTGTTTCAGCTTATTATTATTTCATTTGTTCGTTTTTGTCCCATGGATGTAATTTACGCGAGGCCATGGTCGCGGTTTATTTTTATTTCGCATTTTTTGGAGTTGTAATTTACGCGGGTGATCGTCGCGACACTTTCTTTACCGCTTTCTTTACTTTCAGCACTTTAATTCTGCCGTATGATAATTTGCCATATTTTGCATGATTTACCGTTGGTCACCCTTCGAAGGAATTAGGTTTAGCAGTTTGACCGCCAAGTCAATAACCCTAAACTTTGACCATTTCAAAACCCTAATAGCCTAGGCGTCCCGCCGTGGACGAAAATACCCTTTACCCTAGTTTTAGGTCAAAGAGTTGTCGTACTCTGTTTTAGGGTTTCCCGCTGTGGAATCCCTAATTTAACCCTAATTTCAATTAACAACTTCAACGTAGAAATAAGAGTTTCAAGATTCCACGTAAGTGTGTCCTTAATATACGTTTACTCCCCTGAAACCTTGACCACAGTCAAGAAGTTTCTAGCCTCCCTTTCTAGGGGAACTACAATTACTCTGATTCCATTCCAAAGTCAGGATATGTAGGCACAAGATGCGATGTCTTGCCGAGTAAACTTAGGAATAACCCTTAGGTCTCTTTAGGTCACTATATCCCTTAGCTCAGTATATATACATCAAGCAGATAATAAAATAAAAAGGCATACAATAAACAAAAGATTCCTGTAGAGTACTACAGAAGTTTAGGGTGCTAGTACCTTCCCTAAATTTAACCAACCCCTTACCCAGGTCTCTCCCCACATTGTGTTTATGATGCAAAAATAGGTTTTTCCTCTTTTGACCTTTTCCTTCGGATAAATCAAAGAGCGATTGTGAATTAAGAATTATGATTCAAACTAATTAATAGTTTGATATCCTATTTCCACCGCAATAGGAAATGACGACTTCACTGGGGAAAATTCTAATTTTTAAGGGTTGCCCCTATTTTGTTTATTGTATGATATTTCTATTTTATTAATGATTTGTATATATTTATATTGTACCTTATTTTGGGTTATCCTGTTGTCGCACCCTAATTTTTGACCTTAAGACTCCACCTCTTCGTGCACTCTCTTTCTTGTTTCTTTCATTTTACTTTCGTATGTATGTTTGTTATGGCTAACCAACTTGCGCA